TGCAATATTGTTGGTGGATTTCCTGAAACAAATTATTATTTTTCCAGTTGCATGCCCAAATTGCAACAGTATTTTATAATTGTGATAGAATATTTAACATATTTAAATTCAATTCACAACACTTTATAAATTAAATAAAAACATAAAATAGCAAAAACACACTGATGCACATTCTTTATTCATCATGTTGTAGAAGGAGTTTTTAATGCACTGACCAAATGACTTGAACACACATAACATTGAAATTACGACTTCCCAAATCGTAAATATGAACTTCCCAGGAGGACTTGAACATGTCATTTGTAGAATGATCCGAATCAGTCACTTGTGAAGTTCCACTGCTGTCTTAAAAGGCAGCTGACTACGTAGGCAGCTCACTTCAAAAACCACAGAAGGTCTGAAGGGTTTAAATCTGAACATACTTGCATGATTTCAGCGTGTCTCTCTGAGACTTGTTTAATATGTGGTTGAGGTGTTTTGCGTTAACAGCAGCTAGCTGGCTAAAGCTCTCTGCTTTGTTCTCCAATCCTGAGGTTAACGATTTTCCGTCGTGGGAGGCGGGGGAGAGCAGCGGCAGAATTAGGATTCAGCTCCCATCCTCAGTGCCGAGCAGCTGTCTGCTGCCTACCCAGCAACCCTGGCGCTTTGTGACAAGGAGATGGATGATATCTGCAGCCTGGCCGGCCGCTCTACGGGTAAAGACACACACACACCACACACACACACACACACACACGTCTGCAAGCACACAGGGTCTCACAAACACACACACACACACTTCCCAAAGCCAGCAAGGTTGTACGCACACACATGTAACTAATGCTGTGATGCTGCTGCTACAACCTTTAACATGTAACACAGATCAGCAAAGCCGCATTTTGCTTTATGCGGCTTTGCTGATCAGCTTTCTTTGTGATAGTTTTCTTCATTTGTGAAAATATTGCACTTATACATATGGAGGGAGTATTTAAAAGTGTGTAAGGTTAATGATTTCATGTGGTAAAAGAGAGACAACAATTAATACAGTAATATAAACAATTTATTAGACAGTCAAACATTTACAGCATTTTAAAATACAAATATACAAGAGATTAACAGACTAATGGGCAGCTGTGGTCTGAGCGTTCGTGTGTGTGTGTGTGTGTCACTGGACAGTGTGTGAAAGCAGAAGGTCAAAGGATCTGTCTCTTCTCCACTTCCTTTAAAGGCAGGGTATGTGATTTTTCAAAAACACTTTAGAAAACAGATTCGGGCCAAATCGCAAAACAAACTTGTAGCCAATCAGCAATAAGGGGCGTGTCTACTCGTGATGTGGAGGACAGAGCTTTCAGTGCATGGGACGGACATTAGCCGAGCTGAGCGACAGAGAGATAGAGATGGCGGATAAAAAAACAAAAGAGGAAAACGTCTGCGGAACGATAAGGCAAGAAGTAGGACCCCTGTAAATATCGGATCAGCTTTCCAGCGCTGGAGAGAACTCAAGGAGCGGAGGCCTACGATCGGACGCCGAGGTTGCTTTGTTTCTTCTCAATAGGTGAGTAACACCGTGTCTACAACAGCTAAAGTCTGACTACACTGGACGCGATCAAACGACCGTTGAAAACCATTTGAAATCGGTGTCAGCACGTCATAAATAGAACCCGGCAGCAGTTTTCTGTCGGGATTTGTTGCGCCGCGCCGCTCACGTCCGATGTAGACACGGTGTAACATTGGTTTTGCTTTGTTTCACAGAACTAATCGTGGCCTGGGTTGCGTACGTATATGTGGGGCAGAGCTATCAAAATAGGGGCAAGACCCTTTTGGGGTAGGGGCGTGTTTGTTTTGGTGATTTCAAATATAAACATTGACTACCAGAAATCCCTTACTCTGCCTTTAAAAGCACATTTCTGTGAAAACGTCAAATCATAATTCAAATTTCTGCACAGGTTTTTTTTTTTTATTCTGTAGTTATAGTGTATTATGTACTGTGTATTCCTGTTGTTGAAGTGTTTGAAATAGGACATTTTCTCACTTGGAACACCTTCGGTTCTGCTATAGAAATATGTCAGGCCTTCTTACCAGCTATTTCGACTGATTTAAATAGATGCTGACTGTTCATTAAATATAATCAATAAATTGAAGAAACTTCACCAAAAGGAACATTAATCACCAAAATGGTAATTTTTGGTGATTTAAAAAAATTAAATCCACAAAAAGCACACTTTTATGTAGTTCTTTTGCAAAAAAAATAACAATTTATAACAATTTAAAACATTCTAAGGCAATATTACATTTTAGTATTTACCTTAAATAAAAATCAATTATTTTTTACAATTTATTTTAATTTATTAAATAAAAATAAATTATTATTGATACTAGATCAAGTCAAATATAGGAGAATCTGTCTTGCCTCAAATGGCTCCTGCAGGATTAGTGATTAAACTGAATGCTCAACAGCAGTTCCACCTTCACCACCAAACCTCACATTGCAAGTTCTTGCCATTTAAAAATTAAGTTACTCACACTAAATACTGTAGATTTTGAATTTATATTTTTGTACATTATTTCGATCATTTTGTCTGACAAAATGGACATGGGCTAGGTAATACAGGTGTAGGTGAATATTTGCATAACGCCTGCAGTTCAATTATTTGCATCATAGAAGAGTTGATATGAGCTTGAGCAAACAATGGCACTAGTGATAGCAAACACAACTCAGCTTCATAGTAAAACAAACATGAGAGAAAAAAAGGGTCATTTATACAGTAAACATGACGTGGTCCGATAAGAAAACAAAGATTACAAAGTGAGATAGCAAATAGGATAGCAAACGCTGATCACATCATCAATTCACTCTCATTAAATAAAACTTAGATGAGGAATCACACAATATTTTAAAGACCCCTGTACAATTAGAAGATCTCTGCAACTAGTGAAATTCCAAAATCTACTCTAATCCAAACTGCAGCCTAAGCTACATCAGTAAGGAAATGTTAAAATATTGGTCTTATACAACATGAATTATATAATAAACTAAATAAAGCTAAAAAATGTAAAATTACTCTTATTAATCTCACAGTGATGGGCATAGATGGTGAGACTTCTAGACAGGAGACACAATGGCAAAAAATAATTCATTCGAACCGCAATTCATACATAACATACCGATTACTGAAGAGAGTTTTTCTAAAATTGCCTCATAAATATTGTACATCAATTACTACAAGAATAATCAACAAAGTAGATTATCAAGTGAACAACAAGGTGTAATTGAATTAACTTTCTCTTTTATTTGGCTACAATATTTTAATTCCAATGTACATTTGTAGAATCTGAAGAAAAAAAATAAGATAAATAAAATAAATGTGAAAACATTTACGAAATAAATGCTATATAAGAGTTTGGGATCAGTAAGATTTCTAGTGTTTTTAAAGAAGTTTCTTATGCTCACAAAGGTTGCATTTTATTTTATAAAAAAAATACAGAAAAAAACAGTAATATTGTGAAATATTATTACAATTTAAAATAAC